GGACAGAGGGGAGGCGCCAGACCTGCTGCCCTCCGGGGGCAGCGCCGGGCGTGTCCTGGGCCTCCCGGCTGCCCGCGGACTCCAGCCTCGCCAGGGCCGCGCGGAGGGAGGCTGTCCTTAGGCACACGTAGCCGGCGGTTGTCCTCGGAGGAGGCTGGCGGGCAGGCACCGGCAGTTTCTGCATCACACTGGACTCCAGCCGGCGGATCTGTCGCCTTCACTGAGAGCCCAGGAACACGGAAAACCGTGTTCTCCTGCTGCTGGTGTCACCGCCCGTCCACCTGCCTGTCCTCGCCCGTCCACCTGTCTGTCCTCAGCCGTCCACCTGTCTGTCCACGGCCATCCACCTGTCTGTCCACGGCCGTCCACCTGACCACTGCCGACACCGGCGGGGGTGCATTCGGAAATACCAGGTGTCTGCCCAGGAGCAGCTTCAGATCTCAGCTGGACCCACAGCCCGCAGGGCAGCAGGAGACCCCTGCCGGGGGCGGGCGGGGCTGCGGGACGCAGCAGGGGACGGGCGGCCCTCACCTGAGGGTCCAACCTGGACACAGGTGCCGTACAAGGGGGCTTCGCTCACAGGTGGAGTGGAAGTTACTTTGATGCAGAAGCGTCCTGGAAGCCACGCCCACTCTCCCACTAGGCTCTTTCCCGTGGACTTTCAGACGCCCCTGTGCACGCGCGCGGATTCAGAGTGTTTCCCACCCAAACCACCGATCTTGCAATTCTGCTTCTCCATGAGCTTTCTGAACCACCACCCGCCTTGTGATAACTTCAGCTTGAACAAGCAACAGGGAAAAGTAGCAACCTGGGAGGGCGGAACTGGAGGGGGTGAGAGGCAGGGAGGGGGTGAGTGGGGAGGGGCGGGCCCACTGCGGCCTGTGATGGGCACACGCAGAAGAGCTGCGTCACTTACTGTGCGGGCGGTTAGCTCTGGCTGGCACAGCGGTCTTCCGAGGTTAGAGGGAGCGAGCGCAGGTGCAGAGGTGAGAGGCAGAGAGACAAACGTGCGAGAGCCACATCAGGACGGAAGACAGCGAGAGCCCAGCCCCGCGCGCCGCGCTCACGGGGCCGCCGCTCGGCACAGCCTCTCTCCACGTGCCGGCTGTCACGCGTGGTTAGGCACACGCAAGGTACACGCACGGCTGCCCCACCCCCGCACGCACCGCCAGCGGTGTTCAGTACACTCGCATCACTTCCGAAATCTGAGACAAACCTGTCAGGCTGCGCTGGCTGCACCGTCGCAACCCGTGCCTTCCCGAGGAGCGAACACCCAGGGCAGGTGTACGCGGGCCGGCACACGCCTGGCTGGGAGGGGAGGCACGGCCACACGCTGAGCGCGGTGCCAGAGCCGGGGACCTGCTCTTTCCCCAGTTCTGGAAACCATTTGGGCAGAAAATGAACGCTGTGGGGCCCAGAACCCAGAGCTGCCGGGGACTCTGGCGACGTCTCACGGAGACGCTGAGGACGGGCCGCGGCCGACGCCTGGGTCGGCAGCAGCGTCCTGTGACACGCGGGCTGGAGTGGGGGCTCGAGGCAGCCCCAGTGTACCTGCCTGACGCCCAGCCCCCCTGGAGGGCGTCCATGCAGCTGGCACACGATGGCCAGGACCCAGCGATGCTGGAAACCCAGGGAGAGAACTCTCTGGAAGGAAACCCAGAGGGCGGGCAGGGGGAAGGGGGAGGAGTCACATGGGGGGGCTGGCACCGTGGGGAGGGGGGACTGGAAGAGGGAGGAAACACACTGTGTCCATCAGGGAGGGGAGGGCCACGCCCTCACGCCTCTGGCTTCCTGCCTGTCATGTGCCTGCGTGTGCGTGTGTGTGCGTGTGCAGCCAGGAAACCTGGCTGCTGCCTGGCCCGAGGCGCCCTACCAGGAGCAAGGGAGCCGCCACAGAGGCCGGTGCAGGCACAGCCACCCAAGCACCCCTCAGGGCAGCCGCGTGCAAAGTCCCCCAGGGCCAAGCCGCCTGGAAATCGTACGGGACATCTCCTCCTGCCTCCGTCTTCCTCTTGTAACTTTCAGCTCCTCGCCCGCCTGGCCCTGCACACGCGGTAAAGGAGTGGGTCCAGGAGGGGCAGCAAGGGAGCCCGGGCTGAGACAGGGAGCAGAGATGGACTGGGCCAGGCTGCGCTGGGGGCGTGGTCTCACTGCGGGGGACAGGGGCCCCCTGTAGCCCTGTGAGGATCTCAGCAGCCACCCCCCTGCCTGGGCCCCCACTGTGACAACCAAAACATCGCCCACCTTGCCGGCTGTCCCGGCATCAAGGCAAGGGTGGCTGCGCCGGGTGTCACCAACAGCCGGCTCTGGGCACTGCTCCGCCCACTGGGGGCAGGAGCCCCAGGAATCGGGCACGCGTGGTGGGTAACGGTGGGATCCCCGCCTTGGAGGAGGTTGGGGCTCGGGGCGTCTTGGGGTCTCAATCCAGGCCAGCTCTGAGCCCCCCGCTACGTTCTTCCCGTCGCCGTCACACCAGGTGCTGTGCGGGTAAAGCCGCACCCTCAGAAATGTCCGGTTCAGCCAGGGCTCCAGCGAGCCTAACGAAATGACGGCCTCGTTCCCACACACCTATGGGCTGAGCAGCCCCGATGCAAAACCGCGACGTCCGCAGTGCTCCGAAACCCAGACTTCCTGAGTGCCGCCATGACCCCACGAGTGGGAAATCCCACGCCTGACCTCGCACTAACAACCACGGCTGACGGCAGCGCCGGCCCTGCGCACACGGTGTCTGCGACACACACACACACACACGTTTCCAGCTTAGACTCTGGGCCCCTCCCCAAGACACCGTCCCAGGCTTGTGCAAATATTCTAGAATCCGAGTCTCAGGCACTTGCGGTGGCAGGCGTTCTAGGACAGGCTCCTCCACCTGACCCTGTTGTCCCGGGGGGCGTGTGCCCTGGCAGACCCCGGGGGTCGGGGCGGCTCTGCCCTGAGCCCCATAGGGCAGCTCCAAGGCCTTGGTGACTTCTGCGCCCGCAAGGGGAGCCCAGGTGGAAGCCGGCACCCCCAGCAGAGCTGCCCAGCCGCTCCCCCACACAAGGACCCCGATGTGCCCCTCCCCGCCCCCACGAGCCCGGCAGGAGCTCACACGCTCAGGGTGAGGTGGGGACAGCATCAGAGAGATAAGGAACAGGAAACAGAAGACGGAGCGGACAGTGAGTGGGGCGGAGCCGGCGAGCGGGCGGGAGCGAGTACCTTTATGCTTCTTGGCCACGACGGGCTCGGAGACGCTCAGGGAGCTCTCGGACAGCTCGTCGGCGTCGGGCTCGCGCAGGCCGGGGCCGCTCCACGCTGCCCCCTGCGGGCACTCCTTCTCCAAGTCCCACGACCCCAGTTCACTCTCCTGGGGCTCCGCGGCAGTGGGCGCCGGGGCCGCCTCCGAGGCAGACGGGGCAGACGGGGCGGGTGGGGCGGACGGGGCAGCCGGTGCGTCCTCCCGGCGGGCACCGTCGTCCATGGCGGCTGCGTAGTCCAGCATCAGGGCAGCATCGTGGTCCTGAGACAGTGAGGTCTGCCGGGCAAAACGCACCATCAGAGGCGGAGGCGGGCAAGCAGGAGAGCCGGCAGGGCCCGAGGAGCTGGGCGGCGCTCCCGACACCGGCACCGGCACCGGCACCGGCACGGGCCACTTTGCAGCTTGGCCGCCGGTCCTCTAAGAAGGGGCGTCTGCAACAGGGGGCCGGGCGGGTCTCTGCCCAGCGGGGCTCAGTGAGGGGAGGCCCTGGGCGGGCTCGCAGGTGGGGCAGCAGGTGTCCCTCCCCCACCCGCACGCCTGGGGACGCTGGGGAACGGGGACGTGAGCTCGGGAGCTGACTATCTAGCGGGCCCTGCAGATCACGAGTGGAAATGAGCGGGAATGCACACGCCGAGTCCCGGGAAGATGTCTGTTTGTATGTGAACACACGTGGAGGGGTGCGGGGGCGGGAGGTCCCCGGGGCGGGGGGCGCTCGTGCTGCCTGGGCCCCCTGCGCAGTCACAGGTCAAATCTCCGGCTCGTGGACATGCCCGCTGAATGGGGTGGCCAGAGCACGCGGCAGTGGGCTGGGGACACTGAATGCGGGGACCCACACTCCTAAAGGCTCCACTGTGAAACCTTGGAGAAAGCACCCCGGGGGGTGCCACCCACTCAGGGTCCAGGAAACCCAATCCAAACACCGCCCCCTGCTGGAGGCCACCAGACTTGCACCCAGGAACCCAACAGACACTTGAGGCCATCTGTGTGTGAGCTGGGGCCTGGGAGGCTGGGACAAGGCCACCCACACCCTGGGCACCACGGCCACACTGGTGACTCGCCTCCAGCACCTGCCAGTCCCCTCTGGCCCCCTCCCAGGGGCTGTCAGCACACCCCCCCACCTGACCTCGGGGCCCCCCAGGATCTAAGCCACCCAAACTCCTTCCTCATCCTTCCTCATCCCCTCCCGTCCCACATCCAACCCTCGCCACTGCGAGGCAGGCAGCACGTGGTCCAGCAGTCAGGAATCCACATCGCACGCTGTAGCACCTGCTTTGGTGCCTGCCAGTGCACACCGGGAGGCAGCCATGCTGGCTCGGGGGCCCGGGCTCCTGCCACCCGTGTCTGGGACCCTGACTGAGCCGGGGGTGCTGCAGGTGTCTGGGAGAGAAGTGGAGGACAGGCACGCTGTCTCCCTCGCAGACGAACGCAGAGTCTGCCAGCACCCCCGGCACAGGTGCGTATGGGAACGTCGGGTCAGCAGGGCTGGGTCAGGGACGGCGTCTCGCTCAGCCAGGCGAGACGAGGCCAGCAGCCACGGCCTGGCGGGCTGAGGACCGCGCTCAGGGCTGGGGCCGGCTCCCGCGCGCAGCCCCGGCCGGGCCGTGCCGCCCTACCTTGGAGACCCCGGATATGATGATGGTGCTTTTCTTGCGGGGCGACTTGAGCTTGAGCTTGGAGGCCTCGCTGAGCTGCCGGATGGCCACTTCCGCCACGGGGTCCAGGCCGTTCAGCACCAGCAGCTCTGCGGGAGAAGGCAGAGCTCAGCTCACTTCCCTGACATCAGGCGCAGCCCCGGGAACATTCTAGAAACCCTGCTCTATACAGGGCCGGAGAGAAAGCAGTTTGGACTTGGCGGGCCAGCTGGTGTCTGAAACATCTTCCCAACGCTGCCTCCGTGGTGTGAGAGCTACAGGGGCCTCGTGTCACCGCGGCTGGGTTCCAGTAAAACTTTATTGATGGGGCCGGCGCTGTGGCATAGCGGGGTAAAGCCGCCACCTGCAGTGCCGGCATCCCATATGGGTGCCGGTTCGAGTCCCCTGCTCCACTTCTGATCCAGCTCTCTACTATGGCCTGGGAAAGCAGTAGAAGATGCCCAAGTCCTTGGGCCCCTGCACCCACATGGGAGACCTGAAAGAAGCTCCTGGCTCCTGTTTTTGGTCTGGCCATTGTGACCATTTGGGGAGTGAACCAGAGGATGGAAAATTTCTCTGTCTCTCCTCCTTCTCTGTGACTCTGCCTTTCAGATAAATAAGAAATAAACCTTTAAAAAGTAAAATAAAATCCCCACGTGCAGGTGGGTGTTGTGCTTCAGGCTGAGCGAGTTTAATCCTGGCTCCTCCACTTCCCATCCAGCTTCCTGCAGCTCGAGCCCCTGGGGCCTGGCCACCGCGGGGAGACCCAGATGGAGCCCCGGCTGATGCAGCCAACTGGGGACTGAACCAGCAGGTGGAGGACCTCTCTCTCTGTCTCTCGGCCTCTCTTTCTCTCTCTGTGTAACTCTGACTTCAAATAAATAAATAAATCTTTTTTTAAAAAAGAAAGAAAGGAAAAGAAAAGAGGGAGGAGGGGAGGGAATCGGCTTCCCAGATTGCAGGCGATGCGCGCCGGGTGGTCTGAGCAGATCGAGGGTCGGCACCGGGCAGCCCCGGCGCTACCTGTGTCTGAGGAGGAGAAGGCTTTGCTGACGGGCGCGCCGTGGCAGGGCACCGCTTGGATAGAGATGTCCTTCTCGATGACCTTCACCCTGACGGGCGTCTTCACAGGAGACTCTGGGGGAGACAGCGTGATCAGCAGGGCGGCGGGCGGGCTGTGGACCCACAGTTACCGGAGACGCGGAACGCCCCCCGCCCGTGTCTGCACCTCCAGTGAGGCGCTGGCTGAGGTAGGGGCCACGGCGGCGGAACAGGGGGCGCTGCCGGCAGCCGGGGCCCCAATATTTCATAAACCTTGCAATGAGGCCGGACTCTCCCCTGCACTGTGCCAGTGGCCCGTCCTGGGAAGGGAAGGCGTAGGCACCGGCGGAGACGCGATATAAATAAAAACAAGAAATCACCACTTTTTTGAAGTGAGGCTGTCTTGCAGGGGACAGAAAGGCCATGGCCGCTCATCGGCCCTCGAGGGGAGGAGGTCCACGGGAGCCGCGAGCGACTTCCCTAGGGCGCACTCCGTCCCCCCGCGGCACCAAGAGTACCCAGATGTGGCCGCAGCTCCCATCATCCCAGAGGTCGTGCCCAGCCACAGAACAAGCCCGCGTCTTGTCCGCTGCCCTCTTCCTGTGCCCCGAGTGTGTTTAGTGACAGCACAGGGGCTGGCTCTGCGGCGCAGCGGGCGAAGCCACCGCCAGGGACAGTGCCATCCCCTATGCCCGCCTGCTCCACTCCCCGCCCAGCTCCCCGTTAGTGCACCTGGGAAAGCAGCAGAAGACGGCCCAAGTGCTGGGGCCCCTGCGCCCATGCAGGAGACCTGGACGGAGCTCCTGGCTCCAGCCTCGCCTGGGCCTGGCCATTGTGGCCAGCAGATGGACTCCCTCTCCCCCTCCCTCTCCCCCCACCCAGCCCAGCACAGGGAGGCAGCTGCCAACAGGGCCTGCGTGCCAGGCAGAGCTCCCGCAGGGCGCCCGTTCCCGGGGGTCTCACCCGGGCTCAGCGGGGACGCCCTCCCAGTGTCAAACCGAGGCTTGGTCTTCACAGCAGTGACGGTGGTGACCACAGTGCCACACGGCATCACCGTGCGGTCCTTCTCTATCTTGGCAGCCGGCGCGGGGGGAGGGGCTTGCCACGCCTTCGGGTCCCCGGGTTCTATGTAAAAAAACTGCAGAGAAAGCAGGGGTGGGGGTGTTATCCACGGGGGTGGGGCTTCCAGGGCCAACGCCCCAGACATGAGCTCCACCCAGGCTGTGGTCCTCTGGGTACTAAACCATCAATGACGGACAGCGCTGACAGTGCCAACGCTGTGTGCACGGCTGCCGCACGGCACGGGAGTCGGGCCCGGCTCAGCTCAGCCCCAGCTGTTCTGCAGCCACTTCGCACGAGCAGGTGGGCAGAGGCCGAGGGCTCAGAGGGGAACCTGCAGGGCCAACGGCCGCCGTGGGACCCAGGTCCAGAGATGTGCGTGAGCCGCTCCCTTCTCACGGGGGCCGCGGACGCGAGTGGAGACGCTCCTTCTAGCAAGGGGTTGAGCCCGGGCTGGGCTGCCGTACCTCGGCGGTGATGGAGCCCAACACGGAGCCGCGGGGGGAGGATCCGCCGGCCAGCGCGAAGCTCTGGGGTCCGGAAGGCTGCTTCTTAAACAAATCTAAAGGGACCGTGGCCACCGCCAGCAACCCTGCAGAGACAGGGGTGAGGCCGGGCTTCAGCGACTGCAGAGGGGTCTCGGATGGGGCCCAACGGGCGGTGCTCTCAGCTTGAAAATGCCCCAGCCCCCGGGGCCCGCGCTGTGGTGCAGCCGGCTCAGCCGCAGCCTGCGACACCGGCAGCCCACGTGGTTCGAGTCCCAGCTGCTCCACTTCTGATCCAGCTCTCTGCTACGGCCTGGGAGAGCAGTGGAGGATGGCCCAAGTGCTTGGGCCCTGCACCCGCATGGAAGACCTGGAGGAAGCTCCTGGCTCCTGGCTTCTAACTGGCTTAGCTCCGGCCTTTGTGGTCATTTGGGGAGAGAACCAGCAGACGGAAGGCCTCTCTCTCTATAATTCTGACTTCCAAAGAAATAAATCTTTTCTAAAAAAGAAAGGAAACGCTCCCGCCGTGGGATGTGTCAGAAGCACGAGCGGTGGGAGCGCTCAGGGCAAGGGAGGCTGAGGCGTCAGGACAGCCAGGGGTCCACTGTGGCACGTGAGTGTGTGCATGCGTGTGGGTGTGTACACGTGAGTGTGTCAATGTGTGTGGGTGTGTATACAGTGTGTGTACAAGGTGTGTGTATGTGTGCTTGTGGGTGTGCACACGTGTGTGGGTGTGTACATGTGAGTGTGTGTGTGTGGGTGTGTACACGTGAGTGTGTGCATGTGTGTGGGTGTGTATACGTGAGTGTGTGCATGTGTGTGGGTGTATACACGTGAGTGTGTGCATGTGTGTGGGTGTGTACACAGTGTGTGTGTACAAGGTGTGTGTACCCGTGCATGTGAGTGTGTATGCGGCATGTGCATGCATGTATGTGCGTGTGTGTACGCGTGCATGTGGGTGTGTACCAGGTGTGTGCATGGGTGTGGTGTACATGCGCGTGTGTGCACAGGTGTGTGGGTGTGTGTGAGCACATGAAGCGAGGGCGGGACAGAGGAAGGGAGTAGCCAACCACGTGCATGACCACGAATTAGTACAGAAACGTGGGCAAATGCTCAGATTACCGAAGACCGAACAGGGCTCTAAGGGGACTTTGTGCACTTTTGCCAGTCTGACGTGTGCGTGTTCCACCAGGCTGCACCACAGGGTTCTGGCTGCCGCCGGCAGAGCGGGGTGAGCGCTGGGCTCCCCTCCCGGCCGGCTGTGGCCTGCTCTGGGTGTCCCGTGGCCCCCTCTGGACGCTCAGGGTTTGCCTCCGAGCAGCCCGGTGACCTCGGGAGTCCTGGTGACGTAACGGGTAGGACGCGTAGGGCTAGCAACAACCAAACGGCTGGATTTCCTAGCTGGATAAGGCGGGTGGGGGTCCCCCTCTCCAGTTTGCTGTTTGAGGGGCTCTGCAAACGCCTAGCACACGTGGGAGCTGCCGGTTTACTGCAGGCACACACACCCGCTCAGCTTCCCCGGAACCACTCCGGCTGCTGCTTTCTTGTGTCTAAACCGCGGGTCCAGGCACTGGGACCGATGTTTAAGGAAAAGCCAGGGACGGGAAGTTCCGCGGGGGTCTCCAGGGGCTGGGGAGGAGCGAAGGGGAGCCAGGTTCCAGGAGGATGCAAGATTCGGAGAGGGGTGTGGCGATGGCTGCAGAAACCCAACGTAAGGACAGACAGCGGGCGGCGGGCGGTGGACAGCGGGCGGCGGACGGTGGGCAGCGGGCAGCAGGTGGTGGGTAGCAGGTGGTGGGTTTGCCTTGACTGAACCATCTTCTCAAAGGAGGTCCCTGAGCCTGGGAGCACCCCAGATTCTCCTTTAAGCCCAGAGTTGCTGCCTAAAAGGTTTTAAGGTTTGGCCTTTTGGAGGGGCAGGGGACAGTGTTGCCCATCTGCTGGTTTGCTCCCCAAATGCCCACAGCAGCGGGGGTGGCCAGGGCCAGGCCAGGACTGGACGCAGGTCTCCTGTGTGAGATGCAGGAGCCCGACTCCCTGAGCTGCTGCTGCTGCCGCTCAGGTCTGCCCTGGCGGGAGGCTGGACCAGGCGCCACGCCCACTCGCCGAACTGGCCTTAAAAAGCTGACGAATCAGCTGAACATTTTCCCAAAACGCATGCAGGAGTTTTCAAAAGGACCAGAGGATGCGCATTCGGGAAACGCGGCCCAGACTGCGGGACGCGCGCACCAAACGTGCACCCCTCCGTTCCATTTCCCAGAGGCTTCCCGAGTCCCCTGGAGGGCACTGTTAGCAACTTCAGTGCCCTTTGGGAAGCCTGGGGTGGTTTCGGGGAAGGGGCCTGGCCAGGAGGCGGGGCCTGGCCACCCACCTGCCACTCACCTGAGGACTGCCCGTCTTCTGAGATCTGCAGGTGCAGCTCCTTGGACTTGGCATTCAGTTCACTGCGGGAAAGGAGAAGCCGGGGCCTTGAAAAGGTACTGATTTGTTCTGATTTTTTAAACATATTGTGGTTTTTTTTTTTTTTTTTTTTTTTTTTTTTTTTTAAGGAAAGGAACACAAAATTGTCGGTATTTAAAGAACGACAGACACGTAACGCACACAGCAGACTCGGCGTCGTCACAGTCAGGGACAGCGCTGTCGGCAGCCGGGACGGGGCACGCGTGCGCCCCTGGCAGCCACGGAACACGGGCAGGGCGGGCGGTGCGCTTCCTTCTGCTTAATTTTTGCTCATTGGAACGCAGGGCCACACGGAAGCCACAGCCACAAAAAGCTCACGCAAGATGTGCACACGGAAACACTGGGCGTGGGTTTCAGAACATCGTGCACCAAACTGAACCCATCTTTTCCTCCCATTTTTTCATGAATTCTGCAACGCCTCATGTAATTACACAGACAAAATAAGGAACATAACGTACCTCCCTCCTACTTGTCTTTCTCTATTGAAAGATTTATTTGTTTATTTGAAAGGCAGAGTTAGAGAGAGAGAGAAGAAGAGACTGAGAGATTGTGCTTCCATCTGCTGGTTCACTCCCCAAATGGCCACAACAGCCTGGGCTGGGCCAGGAGCTTCCTCTGGGTCTCCCACGCGGGTGCAGGGGCCCAAGGACTTGGGCGTCTTCTACTGCTTCCCCAGGCCACAGCAGGGAGCTGGATTGGAAGTGGAGCAGCCAGGACTGGAACTGGTGCCCATGGGGGATGCCGCTTCATAGGCAGAGGCTTAACCTGCTACATCACAACGCCAGCCCCCTACTTTTCTCTTATGAAAACAGAGAAAGCGACAGCTTTTTTTTTTTTTTTTTTTTTTTTGGGCAGGCAGAGTTAGATAGCGAGAGAGAGAGACAGAGATAAAGGTCTTCCTTTTTCTGTTGGTTCACCCCCCAAGAGGCCGCTACAGCCGGCATGTTGCGGTCAGCACGCTGCGCTGATCCGAAGCCAGGAGCCAGGTGCCCCCTCCTGGTCTCCCATGGGGTGCAGGGCCCAAGCACTTGGGCCATCCTCCACTGCACTCCCGGGCCACAGCAGAGAGCTGGCTTGGAAGAGGGGCAACCGGGACAGAATCCGGGGCCCTGACCGGGACTAGAACCCGGTGTGCCAGTGCCGCAAGGCGGAGGATTAGCCTAGTGAGCCGCAGCGCCGGCCAATACCATTTTTAATAGGCATAATTCTGCTACTTGGCCTCATGACAATTTATTTGGCCACGTCTTTGATCGCCAGCTCTGGCCGTATTATCAATAAGCTCAACACCACTGCCAGGCTTTGCTACCACAAAAGTGAAAAACCTTTTTGAACTGAAGTTTGTTCCTTAGTTCTCGGGCTGAACGGCTTCTCACAGGTGCACAGCCGCCTGCAGAGCTTGCGTCTAGATTTCTAGCGTGCAGATCTGGCTGGGTTTGCTAAGGGAGTGTTCATCCATTCCTTAAAATGTATGTATTTATTTTACTTGAAAGTCAAAGAAACACACACACCGAGAGCGAGAGTGAGAGCGAGAGTGAGAGAGTGAGCATCACGACCATTTGCCGGTTCACTCCCTAGACGCCCACAGCAGCCTGGAGCTGGGCCAGGCCAAAACCAGGAGCCCGGCACTCAGCCTGGTCTCCCACACGGGGGCCAGGGAGCCAGGTCTCGGTCGTTAGCTGCTGCTTCTCCGAGCACACGTCAGCAGGGTGTAGCGGGTGAAGCCGCCGCCTGAGAGCCCGCCTCCCACGTGGGCAACAGTTCGAGTCCCGGCTGCTCCACTTCCCATCCAGCTCTCTGCTGTGGCCTGGGAAAGCAGTGGAGAATGACCCAAGTGCTTGGGCCCCTGCACCTGCATGGGAGACCCTGAAGAACCTGCTGGCTCCTGGCTTTGGCCTGGCCCCGCTCCAGCTGTTGCAGGCATTTGGGGAGTGAGCCAGCAGCTGCCTGTCTGTCTCTCTGCCTTTCAAGTAACGATAAAAACAGGAAGACGGGTGGCACTCCCAGTGCTGAAGGCACCTCGCTTCTAACGTGTGGACAGGGGGCTAGCACGCGACTTTCATGTTCTCTCCGGGGGCCGTGGGGACGGCGCAGACTCACAAGGTGAACTCTTCTTCCCACGTGAGGTCAGTGGTGCATCTCGCGAGGCCGCTGGAGAACCTCTGCAGGGGGTCGTTCAGCTGCGCGGTGCACACGGGCTGAGCGGTGCCTACAGCGGGGCAGAGGGACACGCGTCAGCCTCACACGTGGCCGCATTCACACACGGCCTGCGCGCCACCCACGGCTGCATGACATGGCCCGCCTGGCCTCTGAGGCTCGGCTCTTTCCTTCGCTTGCCGTCTACAGACTCTCAAAGCGCTGGCCTGCACTGCGGTTTACAGAATTTCTTCCTGGGGCGGAGCTGTGGCATAGCGGGTAAAGCCACTGCCTGCAGTGCCGGCCTCCCATATGGGCGCCGGTTCGAGTCCCGGCTACTCCACTTCCCATCCAGCTCTCTGCTGTGGCCTGGGAAAGCAGTGGAAGATGGCCCAAGTGCTTGGGTCCCTGCACCCACGTGGGAGACCTGGAAGAAGCTCCTGGCTCCTGGCTTCAGACTGGTGTGGCTCCGGCTGTTGTGGCCATTTGGGGAGTGAACCAGCGGATGGAAGACTTCTCTCTCTCTCTGTAGCTCTGCCTCTCAAATAAATTAATTAAAACAATTTCTTCCTGTCCTCAATGTTAACAGCCTTGGACTGACCCCAACGGCCCTGTCTGCAGGCAGGGCTCCCGGCGGGGTGGGGGAGGGGTGGACCTTCCTCAGAGCTGGGCCCAGTTTTATTTGTTTGAGGCGGAGCGAGGGGAGAGGGAGAACTGGTTCACACCCAAATGCCTGCAAGGCCTGAGGCCGCCCTGGGTGGAGGCCGGGAGCAGAGAGCTCCCTTGCTCCCTTGGGGTCTCCCACGCGGCGGCAGGGACCTGACTACCTCCCCCGACCCCGCTGCCTCCCAGGGTGCACTGCAGGGGAAGCTGAGCCGGTGTGGACACGGGTGCTCTGATACGGGTGGAGGCACCTACTCCGGCAGGACCAGCAGCGAGCTGAGAACGGTGCCTTCCAAGCCTAAACTTGAATTTGGGATGACTGCAACCCTGTTCCCGGCTCCCACAGGACAGGCGGTTTGCGTTTGTGCCGTGTGTCTCCCGGGGCTGGGCCACGCCAGTGCCGGCACATCCGCGCCGCCCTTGTGGCTGGCAACGGCGAAGCACCTGCGGCAGCACGCGGCTCAGCGGCCTCTTTAAATGGCACCAAGATCACTATCGTCTCTCCGCTGTCGGCTTCAGCAGACACAGGCGCTCCACACCCGACCCCGTCAACAAAGACCTTTTTAAGAAACAGTCATTTCTGCTTCAAGACAGTGCCTCCCCCTCGAGCCCGAAGTGCCGAAGGTACCCCATGCCGCCCGGCGGCCGCCGTGTCCAGACCCCACCCCGCACCGGGCCAAGTGCCCTGCATGTACCCTATTACCTGGTTTTCACAGCCATTCAGGGAGAGCCTGGGACCCAGAGGGAGGGGACAACCCAGGAGGGTGAGGAGTGGGCCTGCCCTCACAGCAGGTGTGTACCGGGCTGGGACCCCCACCCCAGCCAGCCGAGCCTCAGGAGCCCACCCGGCCACGGAGCAGCGTGGCTGACACGGCGACAGGAAGTGCACCTGCACAGCCGGCCACGGCGAGCTCTGCCGAGCACGCTGGAAGTCGGTGCAGCCTGCCTGTGCCTTGCGAAGTGGAAGGAACCCCTTCCAACGTTCCCGGAGGGATCTTTGTGAGCCACGGGCCTCTGCCACCCATCGATCTCCCCGTGGGACCCCCGCCCCTGCAGCCAGGGATGCTAAGCACGAACTGAGGGCTGCACAGTGCAGAGGGCGGAGGGAGGATGAACGAAGAACCAGTAAGTGGAAGGCACTTTCCAGACTACAGAAAGAGGGCACACGACAGTCCCATCCCTTCTCCCCCTCTTCCAACCAAGGCAGCGGTCTCAGTGCAGACCCCACAGGGGTGCCCGGGCGTCGTCCCAGCCCCTGAGCCCCCAGGCTGCGGGGCAGGGGCGCCCCCGTCGCGGGCAGCCAGCACCCACCTGAAGCGCCAGCGTCGTTCAGCAGCGAGGCTCGGACGTTCCTCACCAGCAGCTTCAGCTCATGCGCCCTCGGCGGCTTGGGGGGGCAGGGGTCCTGGGCAGCGGCCGGAGCGCGCTGGAGGGTCTGCGGAGAGACACACAGGAGCGGCGGCCCCAGTGGCTGCTGGGCAGCGACCCCTCGCCTTGATCTGTGGCCACGTCCCGGGCAGGGCTCCCCGTGTGGCTGCGGGGGGGATGCAGGGCACAGTCCCAGGGGTCCGCACCATCCAACCCTGCAGGCCCTAGGACAGGGAGCCCGTCCTCTCCGAGCTGCAGGTGCCTCTGCCCCCACCCCTGCCCCTCGTGGGCCACTGGCCCGTGGCCACCTCCCTCCTGCAGGCCGGAGCTGACATGCACAGAAGGAGAACACAGGCAGCGCTCTCTGAGCCGACAGTGGCAGGAGCAGCCGGCCCAGCGACGCTCCCACCCCATGCCAGAGGGGTGCCAGGACATCTCCCTGGGCATGGGAAGGACCCCCCCAGGCCCCCTGTTTTCAAACCAGGGCTGTCCAGGCAGAGACCTGGGTGCTGACTTGACCCAGAATCCTTTAGGGGGCTGCCTGGGCCCAGAGTTCTCCAGGGGCCCATTTGGAAAGCGGGGGGGGGGGGTCTGAATGCTGGGAGCTGGAGGCACCAGGAAGTGAAGCCCCGGGCACTCCCGGTGGCCCAGCACAGGGCCTGGAGCCGCCCCGGGTCTGGGCTGGAGCTGGGACGCGTTTTCAGTGTAACTGGACTCTAGGGGCCCTGGTACCACGTCTGGCACTGCTCTGGGTGGGGCTGGGAGTGCGTCTGGACGACGTCCACGTGTAAGTCAGCGGCTGAAGGGCTGACGGAGCTGTCGCAGAGCCCCTCTGGGGCACAGGGCGTCTCCCACCCAAGCCTCACGCTCGAACCCAGCTCTGGCTCAGGTGGCTCTGCAGCCTGCCGGCCTCGGACTGACCAGTATAATGGGCAGCCAGGCTATTTGCATAAACTCCACAATTAACAGTACAATTAACCCTGGGGCCAGCACTGTGGCATGATGCCTGCATCCCATATGGACGCCGGTTCAAATCCCTACTGCTCCGCTTCCGATCCAGCTCTCTGCTGTGGCCTGGGACAGCAGCAGCAGATGGTCCAAGTCCTTGGGCCCCTGCACCCGCGTGGGAGACCTGGAAGAAGCTGCTGGCTCCTGGCTTCGGATCAGCGCAGCTTCGACCACTGCGGCCATTGGGGAGTGAACCAGCAATGGAAGACCCCTCTCTGCCTCTGTCTCTGTCACTCTGCCTCTCAAATAAGTAAAATTAAAAAAAAATGAGGAAGAAAGGAAATGCTCTCACGTCCCTGTAACTTGTTCCCAGACTGCTGGTTACCCAAAGCGGCTTCATTCCTCCTGTTGGTGAAGTTTCTACAGTTCCACCTGCTACTGATGTCTAATTTCGCAATAAATATTTTTACACAAACCCCAGAGCTAGCAAAGATGTAAAACGATCAGTTAAGCCAAGGGATGCTGAGGGCAGGCAGCCCAGGGCAGACGCTCCGCCCAAGAGTTTAGGCAGGGAGTCAGGTGACAGCCTTGTCAGACAGGCGGAGGTGGGCCAGCCGAGTGACGGCAGACAGGCGGAGGTGGGCCAGCCGAGTGACGGCAGACAGGCGGAGGTGGGCCAGCCGAGTGACACTAGACAGGCGGAGGTGGGCCAGCCGAGTGACGCCAGACGGGCGGAGGTGGGCCAGCCGAGTGACACTAGACAGGCGGAGGTGGGCCAGCCGAGTGACGGCAGACAGGCGGAGGTGGGCCAGCTGAGTGACGGCAGACAGGCGGAGGTGGGCCAGCCGAGTGACACTAGACAGGCGGAGGTGGGCCAGCCGAGTGACGGCAGACGGGCGGAGGTGGGCCAGCCGAGTGACGGCAGACGGGCGGAGGTGGGCCAGCCGAGTGACGGCAGACGGGCGGAGGTGGGCCAGCCGAGTGACGCCAGCTGCCCCCGCCCTGCCTCGGCCACAGGGTGGATGCGACAGCAGGCAGGGCCGGGTCCCAGGCTCGTCCACCAGTGTTGCTCTGCGAGCTGCCGGGGCAACGTTATCCCTGGCGGGAGGGGGTCCCAGGCACTGGCTCTCAATGCACGGTGAAAAGTCAAGTTTGGGCTCAGGCCAGGCAGAGCCCCAGGGCCTGCTCAGGGTGAGGCGGGGATTGGCGAGCCGCCCAGTAGCCGCTCACGCCCGTCCCGCGGTGCTGTGGGACCCTGCTTGGACCCCGGGGCTTCAGCCCAAGACCAGGGGCGTTGTTGACCAGCCAGCGTTCACGCAGCCTCCGCTGGAGGTCAAGGGCCACTGGACACACACGAGGGCGCCCCGGGAGCCGCAGGCTGGGTCCCCTAACGGCTCGGATGCAGCCACACCTGGCGGAGGGTTTACCTGGGCTTCCTTGGCGTCCGTAGGCTTGGCGCTCAGAGCCAGGGACGGAGAGGCAGAGCTGACCAGATGCTTCAGGATGTCCCTGAGCGGCTCCAGGACCGTGTTTGTCTCGAGCACTGGGCCCTGGTTGTGGGGAGCAAACCAGACTAGACTGAGTTACTGGAATTAAGACTTATTCTATGCATCTGCTCTCCCACAATATGGCGCTGGGAGAGAAGTAAACAGCTTCCGCACAGCTGCCTCCAGTTCAACCAATAAACTGTAGGACTTGCTCCTGATTGGAGGAGAGCAGCGTACTCGGCGTGTGGGCAGCCGAGTTAGGATTGGCGGAGGAGGACTATAAAGGAGGAGAGAGACGGCATGCACCAGGAACATCTAAGGGGAACATCTATCCGAATAACACCTGTGCAGCCCCCGAGAGAGCCGGCCGGCGGTGTGCCGCTCCCCTGCGGAAGTGGGGAATGTGGCCAGGGGGAACTGCCCTTCCACGGAGGTGGAAGGGATAGTAGCCAACCCGGGAAGAACCAGCAGCAAACCCGGGGAGGGCCGAGCAGACGAAAGAACAGCGCAGGGTCCTGTGTCGTTCCTCCACGAAGAGGGGGAGCGACATGGTGGTGCCGTGACTCGGATATGAAGCCTAGGCAGGGTCCTGTGTCGTTCCTCCACGAAGAGGGGGAGCGACACTGGTGAAACAGGACAAGTTGTCGGCTCCCCCGGGACCGAGAGCTCACGCCGTGGAGGGCAGGGCTACGGCTCTCTCACGCCTCCCAGACGAGGTAGTCCTGGGGTCAGGGCCACGCTGCTTTGTACCCTTGGGACTCCAGGAGATCTTCTGGGGAAGGGGGTGTTGATTTGCTGACTTCAGCAGTAATTCATAGCCAGCACAAAACGTGTAACAGTGGGGGCGGCGCTGTGGCGCAGCTGGTAAAGCCGCCACCTGCAGTGCCAGCATCCCACATGGGCGCCAGTTCTAGTCCTGGCTGCTCCACTTCCAATCCAGCTCTCTGCTGTGGCCTGGGAAAGCGGTGGAAGATGGCCCAAGTCCTTGGGCCCCTGCACCCTCATGGGAGACCCGGAAGAAGCCACGTGGCCCAAGCCAGTCTGGGAGGGAAAGCTGGGGGTGTGTGGAGCCTGCCAGTGCCAGGAGCGAGCTTCCGCGGAGCCTGTCCTCACACGTGCGTCTCACGCACACCACAGGAAGAACCACGAGAGCCCGGGACCGACCTCCCCCGCGGCTCTGGGCTGCACGTCCACGGACGTCTCGGGCACATTGATGAGGGACCACGTGACCCGGATGTCCTCTCTCTTTTCTTCCAGGTGGAACTCCAGCTGTGGAAAAGAATAAGAGGGTTAGTGGAGATCAGCCCTCTCCCCAGCCTTGCTGATCACGCGTGTGCGTGTGGAAGGGCACACGTGTGCGTGGTATGCGTGCACTTACACAGGCAACCTCAGCCTCCCCCGGGCCTGTCACAGCAGCCGGCGTCCTGCCAGCTGCACCTGCCCGCCCCCACCGCAGCGCTGGCAGCCGAGAGCCGATGCCGCCACACCCTGCGGTCTCTCTTCAACCGCGGAGCGAATGGCACTTTGCATTTTTGCTTCTCAGATGATGGCCAAGGCATAGAGCAGAGAGGGCCCGGGGCGCCTCATCCCCAGCCCTGGACACAGACCCCACCCCCCAGCCCAGGCCCACACCCCTCAAAGATGGCGCATGGAATCCAGCGGCACCCTACCATCTCCTGCCTGGGCCACTTCCACAGCCCCAGAACCAGACCCCTGTGTCTCACGGCGCCACGTCCAGTCCCGCCCATCTCTGGGCGGCAGAGCTGTGGTCCCCGCGACCTGCATGCCCTCCTCCCAGGAGCCTGTGCATACGGGACCTTACCAGCCTGGGGGTCCTGCGGCTGTGGTCAGGGCGAGGACTGGGCGGGGCCCTGGGTTCTGCAGGTGGCCACAGGGCAATCGTGCAGAGCCAGCCAGGGAGGTGAGACTGGGGAGTCCAGGCTGGGGCAGAGGGTGGGGGAGCGGGGCTGCCACGACCACTCACGCCAGCTCAGGCCCCGCAGCCCCGAGGAGGTGACTCCCACCCACCGTCTCAGCTGTGGGATCGGCTGTCCCAGCTCCACGGTACCCGTCTGGGCCGTGGGATCAGCTATCTCAGCTCCACGGCAGCTGTCTCAGCTGTGGGATCGGCTGTCCCAGCTCCACGGTACCCGTCTGGGCCGTGGGATCAGCTGTCTCGGGTCCACAGTTGCTGGTGACCCTGGCGAGGTAGCCTGATGCTGCATAGCAGGGCCTCGGCGCCTCCTGCCCTGGTCCCACGTCACCACGGCAGCACGGGTGTAAGGAGGGAGGCCAGGGCAGGTCACTCACTACGCTACATTGTTATCGTCCTGTTATTCACTGTTAGTCTTTGGCAGTGTCTGATTGATACATTCACCTGTACCCTAGGGGCGTGTGTCTAGGCTGACCTCGGAGGTCGGGTGTGATGCTGCCCATGGCCCGGCGTCCCCCGTGGGTCAGGGAAGTGTTCCCCGTGGAGGCAGGGACGGCTGTGTTCCTGTGACCTCCTGATCGAGGACTGCCCACAGTAAGCGTGAGAGACTGCAGTGTGTGCTTCCGTGTGACACGTGTGACGTCTGCGGGGAGGGTGCTGTCCGTCTCTGTAGCAGCAGACGGGTCTGGTCCATCCTCAGGCGGCTCCTCCTGGATACTCCCTGGGCTCCCGAGCGGCTGGCGCTCCCGGGCCTGCCTTGGGCTGCTGTGAATCCAGCCTGTGTCCCTCGCTCTGTCCCTGTACCTGGTTAGCAATTTGGGGACTGACCCAGAGCCCTGCTGCGCCCTCGGCAGGGAGGAGTCCCGTAGGCCATTGTGATCAAGGCACATGTTTTTAAAGATTGATTGATTTGAAAGGCAGAGTTACAGAGAGAGAGAGAAAGGTCTTCCATCCGCTCGTTCACTCCCCAAATGGCCACAGCTGCTGGAGCTGGGCCGATCTGGAGTCAGGAGCCAGGAGCTTCCTCCGGGTCTCCCTCGTGGGTGCAGGGCCCGAGAACTTGGGCATCTTCCACTGCTTTCCCAGGTGCATCGGCTGGGAGCTGGATCGGAAGGGGAGCAGCCGGGACTTGCAGTGGCGCCCATATAGGGTGCAGGTGCCTAGGTGCTGCAGGCGGCGGCTTCACCCGCTGCGCCACAGCGCCGGCCCGCCTTTGGTCTCGACACAGAAGAGGCCGCTGCTGCTGGTGGAGCCTCGCGGTGGCCTCCGGTCCCAGGCAGGGGCCGCCCTGCTTCTCCAGTGCTCTTTGCCTGGAAGCTGCCCAGAGGTGGCCGCAGTGAGAACCCCCGTGCGTCCCTGCCGCCGCCTGCCTGGTGCAGTGGGGCACAAGCTAGTTCCCTGGGACAGCGGGGCGAAAGCGCTTTATTCCTAGAATTTCCTGGAAGGAAGCCCTGTTCTCAGCCTGCTTCTAGCAGGCAGTGAGCGTCTGGGGAACTGAGTCTGAAGTCTCGCCCTCCCCTTCGCGTGGGGCGGGGGTGGGGCAGGAGCAGGCGGAGTTGAGATTTCTGCTTTAGAAAGAGGCCCCTGAGGGGCTGGTGCTGTGGCACAGCGGTTAAAGCCACCGCCTTCTGCAGTGCCGGCGTCCCACGTGGGCACCTGTTTGAGTCCCGGCTGCTCCTCTTCCCATCCAGCTCTCTGCTGTGGCCTGGGAAAGCAGTGGAAGATGGCCCGAGTCTCTGGGCCCCTGCACTGGTGTGGGAGACCTGGAGGAAGCTCCTGGCTCCTGGCTTCAGATCAGCTCAGCTCAGGCCATTGTGGTCACCTGGGGAGTGAACCAGCAGATGGAAGACCTCTCACTCTCCCTTCCCCCCCCCCTCCCCGGCCCCTGCCTCTCTGTAACTCTGCATTTCAAATATATAAATAAATCTTAAAAAAAAAAAAAAAAAAAAAAAACACAGGGCCTGAGCCAGCAGGGAAGGGGGTGTATTCATTTGCTGCTGTGACAAATGATGGTCAGCGCAGGTTCCGGCAGCCCAGGTCTGGAGGCCGGTGTGCGATGCCTCCACGGGGAACACTTCCCTGACCCACGGGGGACGCCGGGCCACGGGCAGCATCACACCCGACCTCCGAGGTCAGCCTAGACACACGCCCCTAGGGTACAGGTGAATGTATCAATCAGACACTGCCAAAGACTAACAGTGAATAACAGGACGATAACAATGTAGCGTAGTGAGTGACCTGCCCTGGCCTCCCTCCTTACACCCGTGCTGCCGTGGTGACGTGGGACCAGGGCAGGCAGGCGCCGAGGCCCTGCTATGCAGCGTCAGGCTACCTTGCCGGGGTCACCAGCAACTGTGGACCCGAGACAGCTGATCCCACGGCCCAGACGGGTACCGTGGAGCTGGGATAGCCGATCCCACGGCCGAGACAGCTGCCGTGGATCTGAGATAGCTGATCCCACGGCCCAGACGGGTACCGTGGAGCTGGGACAGCTGATCCCACGGCCGAGATGGCTACCGTGGAGCTGGGACAGCCGATCCCACAGCTGAGACGGCTGCTGAGTGACTAACGGGCAGGAACGGACACAGTGTGGACACTGGACGGAGGGAGAGCAGTTTCGTCACATACTCAGAAGGGCAAGCAGTCTCAAACTCAGCCACTGTTTAGGAATTTTCCGTGCACTATTTTAGACGGCAGTTCACCTGGGATAACAAACCCCAGAAAGGGAGCCACAGGTGCGGGAACCGACTGTGCTGCTGGTCGACGTATGAGAACAAGAGGTTCTGCCAAGGTCGACGTTTTAAAAAACCAGACAGAGGCGTGCGCGGTGCGGGATCGGCACGGCGTGCGGAGCAGGCGGCCGAGGGCTGGGCCTGGCGCTGGGCTGCAGCCGCCTCCCGTCAGACGCCTCTCGGCTCACTCTGCCGACGGAGCCCCCGACTGGCTGAGGGGCCGCGAAGGCACCGAGTTCTTACGTGAATGTCCGTAGTCTGTGTGTGTGGCTGTGTATGTATGACTAGGTATGTCTGTGTGTATATGTGTCTGTGTATATGTGTGTATACGTGTCTGTGTATATGTGTGTCTCTGTGTACGTGCACATATGTGTATGTGTTTGTGTGCGTATGCATGTATATTTGTATGTGTTCTCCATGTACATGTGTATGTCTCAGTGTGTGTATGTGTGCATGTGTGTGTCTCCATATATGCATATGTATGTTTATGTGTGTATGACTGTGTGAGTCTGTGTGTCTATGTGTGTGTATCTGCATGTGTGTCTGGTGTGTGTATCTACATGTGTGTCTGAGAATATGTGTGTGTATGTGTGTATGTCTGTGTGTCTGTGCAAGTCTGTATCTGGGTCTATGTGCGTGTGTCTGTGTGCACATGTGTCCATGTGTGTCTGTGTCTGTGTAAGTCTACATCCGTGTCTGTGCCTGTGCATGTACAGGGAGGGCGTTGTCCCACTCTGATTTCCGGCACAGGGCACACAAGCACGCGTGAGCGAGCCCCCCACCGCAGGTACCCGAGAGCCGTTCCCCCCACCTGCAGATGAGCCGGGGAGAGCCGCATGTCGTAGAGCCGGCATCCTGCGCTCTGGGCGGGGGCGGGCCCTGCGCTCACCAAGAACTGCACGCTGTCGGCCACCGCGTGACAGGTCACCACCTGCAGGAGACAGGGCGAGGTTACTGAGCAGTCACAGAAGAACGCAGCCGTGCCAAAGACGGACGGCACGGCTCATCAAGGCTCTGCAAGTCGGGGACAGCGTGACGTCATGACGCAGGCATGGCTCTGACATCAGTCGGAAGGCATTTAGGAGGGGTGATCTTTACAGCTAACGCGGCCCAGAGGACATCTGCCTCCTGCCAGGGCTCCCTCACTGGAGTGGACCTCCTACAGCGAGCGGCTAGCCGGCCCCGGCAGCGGGCCGAGCCAGCACAGTGGCACAAGGGTGAGGCCAGGTGCCAGGTGTGCACCGGCGGGCAGAGGGAGGGGCACTGGTGCCGTCGGGAGGCTGAGGGTACGAGGCGGCCCGCCCCTCTCCCTAGGGAGCGGCTGACCCCACTGCGCGAGTGCCTGGAAGAGGAGGAGAACATTCTTCAATCCCCCAGTGGATTTATCGGAATCTAAAACACTAAGTGGAAAAGATTATCAAAATAATTACGTTGCCGGAGTCTGCGATTCCAGCAAGTTCAAGGCTGGGACACTCTCCCTTCGCCTTTCTCGTCTCCCGGTGCCCCTCACCGTCACCGTCACCAGCCCCGCCAGCTCCGCCCTCGGCAGCTCTCCCCAGGGCAGCACCGGCTCCCCGGCCCCCATGCCAGGTCCCCATGCCGAGCCCCCGGCAGAGGGCACTTTCCCACGTCCACGGTGGAACCCTCGACGACCCAGATCTAGAACTAGAAAAGCTGCCTCTGTCTACATCAGCCGCAAGGTGCACGGTCGCCGCCGTCACCCGGCCCCGAGCGACGGCTCCGCAGGGGTCGGCTACAGATCTGCATCACCTCCTGAGGTCACAGGCCACCGCCTGGGTAAGCCACGTCAGTCGTCACGGAGGACACTGTTCCCACGCCACGCCACGGGGAAGCCACCGCCCGTGGCAGCAGCCGCACGAAGCCAACCAGGCGCTCGCTGGAGCCCCGCGCCTGTTTTTCTGCAACCTTCCAAATTAACCGACCGGAGTCTCACTGAGAAAACGCACTTACCTGGTGCCTTGAATGGGGAGAGGGAGTTGGGTCTCCCTTTCCACTCAGCCCCACAGAAAGCCCTGCCCCTGGCCCCCACCCCGTTTGTCCGCAGAGACCAGAGCACGTGACTGACAGCCAGTTAACAAGCAAATACAAGGAAGGCCTTCAAAGAGTCATGGCCAGGACCACGCCCTGGGGCACCGGCCCCAGCCCTAAGAAGCACCTGCCCCAGGGACTGCCCTTTCTTTGCCCCCCACAGGTGCATAGCTGGAAAAGCTCATCAGAGACCCCACCGGCACCAGCCTCGGCACGGACGCGGCCAGACAGGGCCTTTCCCGAGCTCGTCTGCGTGCAGGGTCGGGCACAGGGCCAGCCTGGGCCTCCAGCGCCCTGCGGACACCAAGGGCCCCATTTGGCAAATGGAACCAAATGGAAAGGAGGCTTTAAAGACAAGTAATCTGCTTTTAGCGTATTAAGGCGTTATCCACAATGGGGCTTAAACTCTCCCAACCCACGCTGCAGGTCCGCTCGTGCGCGCGAACGGCCAAGGGTCAGCATCTCCAACACGACACTCGGCAGACCCAGCGGCTCCATGTGGGCGCCCCCCAGGGTCTCCACGGCCAGGACCTGCTGGCCTGGGGCCCCGAAGCCTCCCATGGTGTCAGCCCCGGATCTTCCAAACTTAAACACGAGCGAGGTCGCGAACCTGTGGCTACGACACGGGACTCTCTGAGGTCCCAGGAGTGCCCCAAAGCAGGGCTCCGTGGAGCCAACATCTGCCTCCTTGGGAGAAGCTCCCTTGAAAGCAACCAGCCCTCGGTCTGCTTAATGCTTGAGATTCTTTTTCTTTTGGAAGGAACTTTCGAATTCCATAAACCATCTCAAAGTCAAAGAATGGAAGGCTGAACTTGGAATTCCAGATGAACACCGCTCTTCTCCAGGCAAGTGTTTTACGGCAGGCGTGCCACACGTGGTGAGGGCTCGCAGCTGGGCTGGCCGGGGTCAGAGGGGACCCCTGGGCCCCCCCTCCTTGGATCGAGATGGGGGGGTGTCTGATGGAGGCCCCATGAGAACCGGCAAGTGGGAGCTGAAGGTGACCAGTGCTGCCTTCATGACAACCTGCGACCCAGCAGACAGCTCCGACCTTGAAGCCCTGTTCCTCTGGGCTCGTGGGCCAACCCAAAGTCCCTGGGAGCGTCTGGAGCCCGGCACCCCAGGCCAAGGAGCCCCAAGGTCGTGGCCCAACCACAAAGCCCCTGGGATCGTCAGGAGCCCCAAGGTCGTGGGCCAACCACAAAGCCCCTGGGATTGTCTGGAGCCCCAAGGTCATGGGCCAACCCAAAGTCCCTGGGATCGTCTGGAGCCCCAAGGTCATGGGCCAACCAAAGCCCCTGGGATCGTCTGGAGCCCCAAGGTCGTGGGCCAACCACAGAGCCCCTGGGATCGTCAGCTCCCGCCTGCGTTCCCTCCAGCTGCGCACACAGCAGCCTCGGCTCTTCTAGACTCCTAATCACCTAATTCCTGTGTCTCCGCAGGAAATGGACCACAGCTGAGACAGTGCAAGGCAGAGTGGCTGGGGCTGGCCACTTCTCACACTGGAGACGACGCCCCAGGAAGAGCCCCTGCACGGGTCGCTCACGCTCCCTGCTCCCCCGCCCCCCGCGGCCGCTCTTGGTGCAAATGCAAATGCATCGAAACTGTTCTTTCTACCCTGCAACAAATTTCTCAGTTGCAAAGCAAAACCCATCAGCGCTAACCGTCCTCAGCAACTCCAAGGTCAACCCCGTCTGCAGGACGCATCTTGGAAAGGCACTGGCCCAGCGGCCTGGGATGGAAACTGCTGGAAACAGACGGTGCTCAAGGAGCCGGCACTGTGTGTAGCAGGTAAAGCCGCCACCTGCAACACCAGCACCTGCAGCGTTGGCATCCCGTATGGCTGCCAGTTCGAGTCCCAGCTGCTCCACTTCTGATCCAGCTCCCTGCCACTATGCCTGGAAAAGCAGCAGAGAATGGCGTAAGTGCTGGGGCCGGCGCTGTGGGGCAGCGGGTTAACGCCCTGGCCTGAAGTGCCAGCATTCCATGTGCGTGGCGGTTCTAGTCCCAGCTGCTCCACTTCCGATCCAGTTCTCTGCTGTGGCCTGGGAAAGCAGTAGGAGATGGCCCAAGTCCTTGGGCCCCTGCACCCACGTGGGAGACCCGGAAGAAGCTCCTGGCTCCTGGCTCTGGGCGTTGCCACCATCTGGGAGTGAACCAGTGGATGGAAGACCTCTCTCTCTGTCTCTCCCTCTCTGTAACTCCGTCTTTCAAATTAAAAAAAAAAAAAGAGTAAGAGAGACAGAAGGATAAAGAGAGGGAGAGGGAGAGGGAGAGACAGAGAGAGAGAGAGAGAGAGAGAGAGACAACTGGCTGCAACAGTCGGGGCTGGGCCAAGCTGAAGCCGGGAGCCAGGACTTCTAACTGCGCCTCCCACGTGGGTGCGGGGCCCGAGCACTTGGGCCGCCTGCCGCGGCTTCCCGGGAGCATTAGCAGGGAGCTGGATGCACAGCACCAAAGGACGCACACCTGCCTGACACGGGATTTGGCTGCGGAAGGTGGCACTCACCCCTGCACCCCTGTCCTGCCACGCTCGCCCACTGGCCCTTCTCCGGAACAGCACACCGCCAGGAGCCGCGTGTGCACAGAGCTGGCTCCACGCGGCCTCCCACCCCACCCGAGCACGTGCTGTTCTCCCACCCGCCCCAGACTGAAGCTGTCACCCGGGTCTGTCCCAGGCTGGTGGGCAGTTTCCGGTGTGGAGCCAGACCCGTGCATCAAACCACTACAAACGCCCATGCCCGGCACCCCAACAACCAAAACCGGGAGCACCCCAGGGTCCTTTCACCCCATCTCCTCCAGGCCAGAGTCCACACAAACGGGTGGCTTCGTGGGAGGCACTTTGCCCACGCAGCCCCCACACTGGGTCTCCAAGGGCGGGGCCCCACCGGGAACCCCCAGCACCTGCCCTTGGAAAGGCACCAGTTCCAAACAACGTGCCGACCTGTTCTCGTAGCATAAACACCAGGTGAATGAGGTACCTGGAATTTCAAGTCATGCAAAGCAAAGAGGAAAAAAGAAAAAGCCAGCGGCACTTCTCCTGTGCGGGGGGAACCCGAACCTGAGCAGCTGACCCGCGCGCGGCGGGGGGAGGGGGGGCGCAGGGGAGCCGGAGCAGGCGGTGCACTCAGGCAGCTCAGACGACAGACGGTGCACCTGCCGCTCCCTCCCTGCCCGCACCGGCTGCCCCTGCACACGGGATTCTGGGGAGAGCTCCGCCCAACCGTCCAAGCGCTGAACTCTGCACACGCAGAGGCTGGTCAAGGCCGCTTGGCTCTCTTCCCTCTCTTCGCTGTCTCTGTCACAGAGGGGACGCGGGCGGAGGCAGGCACACAAAAGTGCGCAAACTGCGGCTGGCAGCGTTGTTTACCGTGGGCAGCAGGCGAGGCTCAGCTGCAGCCCCCGCTCCGATCCTCTGTATCTCTGACAGTGAACCCCCCCTGTGTGCCTCAGCTTCTCCCACCCACAGTGGGTGAGACACAGCAGGGGGGTGTTGTGAGCGATGGACAAGGGCTACACACCTGACACCATCAGGAGCTCTGGTGTGGCAGGTGCCCGGCGGGGCGCCACCCCTGTCCCAGCCCCCCTTATCCCCACAGCCCCCCCAGCCATGGACCCGCCACTCAGGGACAGCAGGAAGTGCCCCAAGCCAGCCTGGATGCAAGCGGTGGTGTCCTCCTTGGCTCCCCAGCAGGGCGGGCAGCAGCCTTTATGTAAAACTTCTACGTGTGGCTGCCCGCTAGGAGCGTCATCTGCTCGTGTGGAAACAGCACCAGAACAGAGACGGTTACAGCTGCTCCAGGGACCCCGACTCCCAGGGCAAGGGGCAGACTCGCCCCCAGCACCACCTGTGCCCTCACAAAGGCTGTGTCCAGACACTTCCAC